AATGGTTATGATATTTGGGTCAAAGTGAAAGTGAATAGAATAGGAATTTTGTCATTTACTTTAGTAAAATATAATTTACACCCTTGTAAAAATCTTGTATTATATAAGACACTTATGCTAAGTAACTATCACTACTACCTATCTGCAAAATCATTTTGTTATCTCAAACTAGAACACTATATATCCAGCTCTGAAAAAAAAATCCACCCCCATTTTCTTCCATACCCCGGCCCCTAGGAAACAATTATTTTTTAACTCTGTGGATTTGACCACTTTGAGTACTTATTATAAGTGGATCCATGCAAGCTTTATTCTAAGTCCTCACACAATTTTTGTCCTTTTATTTGATTTTGCTTCCTTGAGACAAGATTGCACTCTAGTTCAGGCTGACCCGAAACTCATTATGCAGCCTAGGTGTCATATTTGTAAGAATTCTCCTGCCTCAATCTTCAAAGGGCTGGGATTATAAATGTGAGTCACTACACAGAGGTAGAGTTGTCCTGTTGGGACAGACTTATTTCATTTAGCATAGTTTCTTCGGCGTTCACCCATGTTACTTTGTCTATGAAGATTTGATTTGTATTTAAGGCTAAACTATAACCACTCTGTATTTGTCACACTTCCCAGTTCCTGTTCTGTCCATGGACATTTTGATTGTTTACTTTTTTATTTACCAATATCACCCCTTCATTTTTATTTATTTTTGTTACTCCCTAGCATCAACCCAACATTTCATATTTTCTTGATAATCTGCTCATGCTATTCCATTTTCAGAAGATCTACTCTCTTGTTTGGGAAGTCAACCTACTACCTTTCATGTCAGTATAGACTGCTTCATCAGCGATATTGGTTACACTGCTTCATACAACTATTCTCGGTAGCTCAATGCCTGAGTGTGATCTGTCATCACACTGATAATGTTTGGCTCCCCTATCACAGCTGAAAACCCTAGGAGAACAGATACAAGCCATCTCTTCATAATCACCATAGTCTCCACTCCCAGATCTCGATCAGGACAGACAACACGCGTATAAGAAAAGAAACATTTGTTCAACTGCAGAATAAACCAGAAGTCACCTCTCTTTACACAATCATGCCTTAAATCAGTAGGAGATTTTTCTCCACTAGTAAAATATTAGATGTTCATATTATAAGATAGTCTATAAACCAGAGGCACAGTATAGTTTCTTGACTTTTTATATATGTAGCCTTAGTTGTCACACAAATATTTAAATCTTCCATAGCAATTTCATCCTTGACTGTAAACCTAGCATTGATTTAGGTTTTTGCTCTTGGACTTATTTGTTTTAAGACATTTCTGAGAGGTTTTGCTTTGTTGTTCCTGAAATTTCATGTCCCTGATATTTACAAATCAAGCGATGTTCCAGTGGCCTCTTCTAAGGTGCGACCTTCATCTCTGCTCATCATGTTCTTGGTGTCCCTTCTGCTTTCTTGTTTCTGTCCTCATCCCTACCTCTGCTTGGTTTCACTAAAGTTATTTACTCTGTTTAATGGGCTCAGCTGCTCAGGGTCAGCTTTGAGAACCCCTTCATGTTTCTTTGATTTTTCTCAAATATCCCTCTGCTTAACAGGCTTCTAGTCCTTGAATCGATATCATAGACAGCTTGAAGTTTACCTGAAGTTTTCCCAGCTGTGACGTTGATTTATTAGCATTGAAAATTTCAAAATGAAGAGCTAAAATCCAAAGCATGTGTTAGAATATCACAGTTAAAAAACATTAGCACAGAAAATCTTCAGCATGGTGGCGTAAGTATCTCGCATGGTGTCAAGATGTCATTTTGAAGACATCGTCTCCTTCCATATGCATCTTCACCTCAAATGGAATCCAGGTGATTGCTGGTAGAAATTTAGATTAGTGCACAGGTAGAATAAAACTTCTTCCTCAGGGAGGGACTCATGAGAACAGATGAAGGGAGTGTAAGTCTGCTTTGGTGGAAGGTGATAGGGCAAGAGAATCCAAGGTATTGGAAGCTCACAGCCGTTCAATGGTATTCCCATACCTGAATTTCAATGCAGAAAGCAACAGGGGATCATGCTGGAAGAGAAAGATCAAAGCTGGGCATTTTTCTTTCCCTCATTAATGTATAATTCCATCCCTTGTGAATCTACTATCTCCCTACTGAAGCACAGCTTTTTAGAATAATCACAATTTTAGTATATTTAATTGAATATTCATTTTAAGTAGGCTAGTCTTTGGAGATGAAAAGCTGATTGATATTAACAGTAATTAGTTTCAGCCTCTCTTTGCTTCTCTTTGCCTCACTGTAATTCGAGCAGGGTAGTTTGTTCACCAATATTCACTCTATCCTGACTCTGTTGAGTAGCAGCAGTGGATGTTTGGGAAGCTGACCTTAGTTGCATTTCACTTGGCTTAAGTTCACTGTGGTCATCTCAAGGTTCTGAGTTCAATAAATGAACATGCTATTCTCTTCCAGCCAATGAGAAGTGGTTAAAGTTTAGAGGAAGAATTGAAGAAAGAACTGTGCTTAAGTTCTCTATTCATCAACATTAAACCCTGAAGCATGTGACTCAAGGGCCTATATGTATAGGACAATGGCAATACTACCAATAGCAACGTGGAGACATGGGGAGCAACACTCCTCTGTCTAGGGACTCGAACTTAGACAGAACTTTCCATTATAAAAGCTTACAAGTTTCCTTTCTATTTAATCTAGTTTGGATAGGATTCTCATCTCTAACTTAAATTCATGTACATTCCAAATGATACTTGATCTTTGCGACCTTCAGCTGACACCTGTGTGACCTTTGGTGACCATAACCCTTTTGAGCCTCATTTCCCTTATCTGAAAAATGAATATAATTGTGTCTGGTAGAGTTTTTCATGAATATCATTTGTGGTTCAGAACAAAGCCTGAGGGAGGGCACATCAACTGATCTTGCTGAGAATTTAACTTTATGATGTGACTGTTCATTGCTTTTAGGAACGCGAGAGACTAAGAGAGGAGAAATCCACTAATAATGTCTATATAAAATAGCAGGAAATTGAATTTGATGGTCTCCCTTTCAAGCAGATGGTTTAGTTATTGAATATTTATTCTCTAAGGTACCATGTATTCTATGGGAAGGTGATGGGAAGGTATAGGTGAAGATGACGGTTAGGCACATATAGAAAAGTCATATTAAAGACAAAACTAAATGCTACGTAGGACTTAGGGGAATAATAGAAAACATGTTAAGCAGAGAACCAGGTAAAGAGTCTTTGAGTTGGGCAAGAACTTAGTCAAGGAAGAAAGGAAGCCTGAAGAAAAAGTGTGGTGATCAAGGGACATTTGTTATAGGTAGAGAAGCTGGCAAGATCAAAGAGGATAGGACTTGCTGGACAAGATAACATTTTCTCAATTATCTAAGTAAAATGAGGCCATTAGAAAGTTTTATGCAAATGAGGCTCATGACATGATATGCACACAGTTATGTTCATGGGTCTTAAGGGAAAAGAAAAAGGAGATGAATTAGCTTGGCACTCTGAATGTGTGATGCCTTTCTCTGTCTATGGTGGTGACAGAGGATATGGGACTGGAGATGCACTTGTTCAGTTGTTTCACTTCCAGCTGATGGTTTTGCTGATGAATGAGAGGGATTATGGTGACTCTTGGAGACAGTGAAGTCAAGCATGACTCCTCACCTTTGGGGAAACGAATGGGCAGATTTTTGTGGTACAAAAACTGAAGTTCAGTTTTGACCATGTTAAGACTGAGTTTTTTCCAGTATCAAAAGCTTTGGGAATTAGTGGTACCTGTTAATAAGAAAAGGAAGAATGGAAGAACATGCCCAATCCCCACTTCTATTGGAAAATAGTTTTTCAAAGTAGTTCTCCCTTTAAAATAGTCTTCAAAGAGTCAGTAAGAAGAGAAGAAACCACAGCCTGGTTAGAGTAGACAGTGAAAAATGATGTAACATAGACTTACATAGGAGACCAACGAATGAGGAAGAATGAGAAGAGGGAAAGCTAATGATCATCTAATATGGGAGATTGTCAGTGAATTAATGTCCTAATGGAAGTAAAAGAAAGGTTTTAGTATTTGACTTTGAACCATCTAAGATCAAAGAGCAGATGAGGATGGGAATTTAAATTCTATGGTTTTCTTTCCCAAAAAGTCAAAATAATTTATCATGACACATCCTAAAATACAAGTCTATATGTGCCATGTGCTAATGTGGAAGTAGAGGTTTGTGGGAACTGTCTAGGGGAAAAATGATTCTCATAAAATTCATTGTCATTCCTTAGATAAGATTGGGTACAGAGGAGGAGTATATACATGTTTTCTAAATGAATAACTATCCCAAAATATGAGCTCTAGATCTTATTTGTTAGAGATATTCATTTTAGATGGCATAGAGATGAAACAAGAAATTTGAAGCTTTTCAAGCTTGAGTACCATAAGCCCTCCAGTCCTTGGTCTTTCTTTTCCTTTCTTGTAGCAGAGACACCTTTAAAAAATCATTAGTTCATTTGTCTGTTCCGTTCTTACAATGTTCCACCTGTGCATTTAACTCAAAAGTATATATTACACGCCCAATAAATATTCGTTGAATGAATGCAAGAGAGTAGACTGAGTGAGTAGATGTTTTATGACTAGAAGGATGCCGTAGGGTCCAGGGAGTGAGCAGTTTCTAGATGAAAGGAAACCAATAAACCAGACTTCAGGGTTGAAATAGCTAAGTGGGAGGCAGTAATGAAACTGCCTGATCTGGTGCTCCATCTGTACTGTGGGCATTAGTAATGTGCTCACAATAAGTCTTTGGAATTGAGGGGATTGGGGTTTACACTTCCAAGCTCAGGGTTTCCCACAATGCCATGTTCTTTCCTCACCCATGTTATGTCCCATAGTCATGATACCACCTCTCAGCTCACAGACACCCTGTTTCCTTCCCACTTAGGCCAGATGAAATATGTTGCGTCACAGACAGTTTCTTTGTATGACTCGTTTTTCTGAGCTCTATTTGTTCATTTTTCCTAGCTCTCCACTGTGGTTTGAATCCGCGGGGTATTGATCACCCTGCCCATGCCGACGGAATTAAACTGCAAATTGAAGGCGAAGGTGTAGAATCTCAATCCATTAGGAACAGAAATTTCCAGAAGGTACCTGACCAAAAAGGAACCCCCAAGAGACTTCAGGGAGAAGCTGAGACAGCAAAGGTGAGCCGTTGGCCAATTAAGTACTAAATGTCTGAGGCTGAAGCCTTGCTAAGCCGTGGTCAGCCACAGAGAAGGGCTTAGAATGCTTCTGCTAATCACTGATGTATCTTTGGTGATATCAGTGCTGTGTTTCACTGATAGATGAGAATAGATGAGAATGTTGACTGAGTTCCCTTTGGATGAAATTCAATCCTGTGTGTCGCTGTCCCACAGTAAGAGGCTCTGGACCGTGGATTATAGAAAAGAGCCTCTCTTATCTAACAGCAATAGAGTTTACTCTCTCTCTCTCTCTCTCTCTCTCTCTCTCTCTCTCTCTCTCTTTCTTTCTTTCTTTCTTATGTTTGCACAAGTTATGCAACTTTAGGCTTCATATTCTCCATCTCTAAAGGATTCCTAAAATCTGCTTTCCCTATTAGGATGAGCTGAGCTCAGTAAATGATTTTGTGCTTCTGAAAACATTGGGTAAAAGCCTGATCCCAATGGGGCTTTTGCTGACAAAAGCTATTAATGATAATAACTGACTTTTGTAAATATATGCATATATAGCAGATTTAAAGCACTCTTGGTGCTGGGGCTTATTATGTCTTTAATCATCCTATGAGATAGACAGGAGTAAACCTTAGATGTTGAAAATATAGCTGTTCTATTTTGATGGCGGATTAGTTCTTAGTCTTTGGCCTAAATATAGGTACTACACACCTGAGGAAATATGCATTGAAGGTATACTAGACAGTGGAGTTCTGAGTGTCAGTGAGGTTTTGTTGAGGACAGTCTTTTATAAAGGCTTTCTCTTGACCTAAAAAAAAAATGGTGTGCAAATACAGAGACCCACAATCAGACATTATTGGGGATGGTGGGGGGAGAAAGAGACCTTAGAACACTCAAAAGTAAATCGGTTGTCTCCATGAAATCCTTCCCCTCAGAGTTCAGGGAACCCACTCAGAATAAGAAGCAGAAAGATTATAGGAGTCAGAGAGGATGAAGAACACCAAGAGATCAAGGTCGTCTGAATCAAGGTCTATGAACACTCACGGAGAGCAAGGCAGCATGCATGGAATCTGCATGGGTCTGCACCAGGGCCTCTGCTCATAATATTATGGCTTCCAGTTTGGTGTTTTTAGTGGACACCTGAGTGTGTGAGCGAGATTCTTGGGTTCTTTTCTTTCTATTGGTTTGTCTTATCCAACTTTGATAGGATAGTTTTTGTTTTGTCTTGTAACATTTAATTTTGTTACATTTTTATTATCTCTTAGAAGCCTCTTTTCTAATGAGACAGAAAGAGATTGGATCTGGATGGGAGAACTGGGGAGAAACTGGGAGGAGTAGATGGAGGGGAAATTCTAATTATGGTATATTGCATGAGAAAGGAATCTATTTTCAATGAAAGGAAAAAGTCACTGTATGGATTTTTGCATAAACTCAGTAACAATGTCCATACTAAGTGTCAAAGATGTTCATTTTAGCTTTCTCACTGAAAATTGAGGGAACTAATTGTTGCAGGAGGTATTAGAATGACAGCATCTGGCTAGCTCTCGACTTAGCCGCCATCTAAATTTCCACTCCAGTGCTCAACACCAACCGGAGTCCCAGAGCGCCAGAATCTCACCACCCAGCTCTCTAAGTTCCCACTACCACGCCATTCTCATGCTTCAAACCCCCACGGCCTTTGAGGGGCACATCACACAAACCCAGGCTTTGCCTCTGAACCTTTCTCTCTCGAACTAGGTTGAGTCCCCACGAGAAGAAAAACACCACACAGAGTTTAGGAACAATGGCAACTCAATCTCTGGGTGCAACAACTAAAACGTAATCTTGTAAACCTATTAAATCTAATCCTCCCGTGGTGGATCCTTTTGGATCCACCATGATACCGGAAACTCTACCACTACATCTTGTCCATGTGTTCACTCCCTGTCCAAAAAGACCCTCTCGCTCCTCCTCCTCCTCTCTTCCCCTATTCAGCCCAGAAGTCCTTCCTCCTCGCCCAGTTATTGGCTTCTCTATTCATATGGGATTGGTTCATAAGAAGTCACCTGAGTACGCACTCACTCCTTGTCTGCAGCCCCTCCCAAGAGAGTACAAATTAACGGACAGGAGAGCCATCCTAATCTTCACAGACATTTGTTTCCTCTTTGTGTTTATTGAGGAAGTATATGCAAAGCTTAGAAAGCAAACATAAGTACCCAAGAAAAACTGGAAGTAGAAAGGTCACCTGGCTGTTGTACCTTGTGCCTCTCTTCCAAATCATGCCTTCTAGATTAAAATGTGATTTTGTTTTTGCTTTACCTGTAGCTGTGAATAATGATCATTATTGCTTCCTCTCTGGCTAAATAATTAAAAATGGGTGATGTGATGTAAGAATTGGCGAATGATTGGTGAGGAAGATATTTGCAAGCACTTTCCACTGAATATTTTTATGCAGAGAAATAGCTCCTTAAAGGAAATTGGTGGACAGTCTGAGTTGGGCTTGTGAGCAGAGCTGGTGATAAGTGAGATTTGCCATGACATCTAAACTTAATCTATCTGTGGTATTATAGAGTTATTCTGAAGACAGAGGGAAAAGTATCCTTAGGGTCTGATTTTACTCAGAAAGATAAATAGAGCTTGCCAGAGTCAAAGGGTGTCTAAAATATTAAGAATCCAACTGGGAAAAAAAGAGAAAACTAATTCTTGATATTTGTTTTATTTTACTTCAAATGTAATTAAATATTTCCAGATCATATCTCTGTTCTTTAAAAAATATTTATAGAAAATCGGTTCAGATCTTATGCGGTTTGATTGCTTCTAAATTCTAGTTGAGTGTGTGATTTTGTGCTACTGCAGGAAAAAAAAAGTACAATTCTGTAAAGCATTCCTCCACCTTTTCAAAACAATAGACCACATTTAAAAATTATGGTTTTTGGAGTTTGTCCAGATCATTTACAATAAAACACAGAAATGAGACTCTAGGGTCTTCACGTTGGCATCTTTAAAGGTAAACAGAGTAGACATTTCAACCAAGCATGGACAGAATTTGCCCTTTTCACAGAGGGCTACCAGGTGAAGCTGGCTGATGGGAACATACAGTGACGGTACCCTGGTACCCTACGATGATAACTGAGAGCTCAGGGGCATCACAATTTGGTATCTGCCCCATAGGCGGCACAGACTTGTTTTGCATACATATAGACATGTTTGTGTTTCCTCTTCTGTTCTTTGTAAAGGGACAGCAGGACTGTGAGCAATCTTCTGTTTACTTTCTGCTAATTTGACACATTCTCAATCTACCCTTTGAACCTCTGGCATGCAAAGACATTCAGCTGTGCAAATGGACATAATTTACCTGGAGAAAGTTTGATAGTAGTTCCTAAGGTTTTTAATGGGTGTGATTTTTCAGGCTAATGGTTTCTTTTCTAGGAACTTGTCCTAGGGAAATAATAAAATACACAAAGGTGGATGTAGGATAATGGTCAATGCAACACTTTAGTATATGAAAATATTGAAAATAATCTGTGTCTGTTAACAATGCACTGGCTAAAGAAGCCAGCTGTGTTCATAAAGTGGGAGAGAGAGCACTCCCTTTTCAGGATGTAGGGCTGCTGTGTACAAGGGATGATATTTTAACTTGAGGAAGGAGTGTTACTGCATAGTGTGTAAGGTCACCACATATGTAAAACTGTCCTTTGAATAAGGGGACCCCAGAGTGGGGGAGTGTTTAGTCTCTGTTTTGAGCAGTAGATTATACTGACATTGAGCTGGTGGGCATTTTTCTGCACTTGTGTTTTGTTTGAATGTTTTTAAAGATAAGCGTTATTTTCATTATATTTATTTAAAAGGCTCTTCCAGACATTTTGTAGTCATAGTTTCACTGTGATTTTTATATTTTGTTAAAGCTCTTCCTTTTAGGCAGCTAACTTTCCTTCTGTGGCTTCTATTCCTGCTGGCAAGTTTGTTTCCTAAAGGGCTAAAGCTTTTAATACTTGTTGATAACTTTTTATTCATTGAGAAAGTGAGTCACTATATCTTAACCTTCTTGTGGCTTGAACAGTAGATAACATCCATCTACTAACGAAGTAATACTTTTGCATTTGTCTCTACCTGGGAATCTGAAGTTCTTACCAGGTTACATGGTCACATTATAAATCACCCTTCTGATTATCAGCTTTTGGCAAATCAAGTTTTTCCGTGTGTATTCTCTAGACTTTACTCAGGAAACCCTATTGTAGCTTCCTGCATTAGCCATTTTTTTTAAGACTTATGTTTAATGTGAGTGTGTTTGTGCATGTGTGTGTGTATGTGTGTGTGTGTGTGTGTGTGTGTGTGTCTGTGTGTCTATGTAGAGGCATATGTATGTGAGTGAAGGCTCTACTGGAAGGGAGAAAAAGATGTCATATCCCCTGGATCTGGAGTTACAGGTAATTATGTCCCCACTCTACATGGGCATTGAGAACTGAACTTGATTCCCCTTTAGGAACTCTCAACCACTGAGCCATCTCTCTAACCCATTAAAAAGTCTTAAACAATGTGAAAGCCTGTGTGTGGATTATAACATGAGTTTAATTGCATTATGTTTGTAGCTTACAATTTAAAGCATTACAGATATAAATTCCTCCCCTCAGGGTTCAGGGAACCCCACAGAAGAAGAGGCAGAAAGAATTTAATAGCCAGAGGAGATGGAGGACACCAAGAAAACAAGGACCTCTAAATCAACATGAGCAAAAGCTCATATGAACTCTTAGGGACCAAGGCAGCATGCACAGAGCCTTCAGCAGACTGCACCAAGTCCTCTGTATATATAGTATGGCTTCCAGTTTAGTGATTTTATAGGATTCTTGAGTATGTGAAAAAGTGTGTCCCCGATTTTTTTGCTGCCTTCTTTTGGATTCTTTTCTTTCTGCCTGTTTGTCTTGTCCAACTCTGACAAAAAAATAATCTTAGATTTAATTATCATTTTTAATTTTTATTCCTTAGAAATCTGTTCATTTTCTAATAAAAGCTAGAAAGGTAATAGATCCAAATAG